AGCCAGCATGCTGGCTGGGGAATTCTGGGAGTTGAAGTCCACCCCTCTTAAAGCGGCTGAGGTTGAGAAGCACTGCTCTTAACCATTCACTTTTCCTTCATATGCTGTATCTCTTTTGTCATTCAGTCTCTTATGTGACCAATCCATCTCAATGTATGTCTTCATCCTTTATTCACTTTTGTATTCAGCCCACATTCACCCAGCACCCGCACATTCTTGACTTCATCTCTTTTTGTTTTACCACACATTTAAGAACCTCTTTCCCAATGCAATTTCTACACGCAGTTCTGTGGTAAACATTCTACAAAGCTATATAAATTCATCGACTTCAGTTGTTCATTATGTATGTATAACTTGCAATTCTTCGTTCACTTTTCCCTCTCAAACACAAGTACTTTGATCCTGATACATTCATTTTCAGATCTGTATTCCTTGTTGCTTCATACGCTCTAAATTACATTTGCTGCAAATCATTGGGGTTTCAGCCAATGATATGGCATCACCTGCATACAGAATGTATGCATACATTCATGTTCCCACCTACACAGCTCCAACATCACCACAAGCAGTCTTTACATCCACAAAACATCATAAACAGCCATAGGGACAGGACACACATACACTTCTTAAATACATATCCTGCCTTTCTGTTTATTTGAACATACAAGCACCTTACAGCAAAAAAATTGCAAAATATAAAATGAAACAAAATTATTACTAATCAAATCAAAATCAAAGTCATTACAATGACTGACAATAAAAAGCTTGGCCAAATAGATGTGTTTTTAATGTCTCAGGAAATACTGGGAGAATGGGAGCCAAAAGCGCCTCCTCGTAGAGCACCTGGCTTGGGAGCCAGAAAAGAAGAGGTCTTTCCCCATCTTCCTAATTGTTAAGCTCCTGGCAGAAAGGCTTCTTCTGCTTCTCTAAGTGACCCCGGTTCATAGCAGAAGAGCCATTCCCGCAGATAATCCTTGTCTTGCTGCCTGCTCAATGTCAAACCATTTACTACTCATTCCATTTTTTCCTCACATATTTTTACTTCCATAATCTACTACTACTGCTATTAACATTCAACAACCAACTTTTAACTCTAGTTTTGTGCAAAAATTCCATAATTCAAGCCTATTCATGTTTGCTAAATCAACTAATATAAAGTAAACTTCATTTCTCACATATATATATATTTCTCAGTGACTAGCTGAACAGTAAATATCTGGTCTTCAAACTCATTGCCCAGCACACAACCACACTACCCTTTCAATATTTTGATTTGTCTTACTTCTTGTACTGTTTTGATTAGAAATCTGTCAAACACCTTCCCAGGTATACCTAACAAGGTAGTTTTTGTATTCACTCTTGCTATCTTTCCATTTATATATGGGAACAGCAACAGCATTTTTCTAGTTGTCAGGCTTAGGTATAATCTTCACATATATGTTAAACAAGTCACATAACCACTCAGTAAGCCAACCACAATCATATTTTAATAATTTTCCAGTTACAGTATCTATGCCTCAAACCTTTCTAAACATTCTCAAAGCATTTCAGTTCTGGTCTGAGCATGCAATTACCTTCCTGTACAAATCTCCTTCAACTTAGTTTCATCCCAAATAATTTCATTACTTTAATTTTTGATTCCATAATCTCTGGTGGAGACTCCTTGTTTAGCCTTTTTCACCCACCCACAAAAAACAAAAACAAAACCCTAAACTTTGTCCAGTCAAAATTTATCTGCATTTTCTCTGCCTCTTTTAGTCTTTGCAAATTTCTTTACCTATATTCTTTGCAAATTTCTTTTTCTCTGTGCAGATATTATACAATTCCTTTCTGTCATTCTCATTTTAGCAGAAATCTTACATACTTTTTTTGCATTCACAGCACTTCATCATTCCACCAGTCATTCTTTTTTATTATTATTATTTCTCATTAGCATAACTCCACACACTTCTATGGCATTTGGCAGCATAATTCTTTTCAGTCTGTTCCAAGCAGCTTCCATATCCATTTTCATTGCTTCCACTTCACATCTATTCTATTAGAAAATTTAATTTAATTTCCAACAGGACTTGTATTTTGTTTTCCTGCAGTCATTCTACTTCCATGCAAGTTTCTTTCACTTATGTCCTTTTTATATGTCCATTTTTTTTCTCAATAAATGGTGTGGACGACATTGAGGACCTCTTACTACCTTTAAGTCCTTCACCAATTCTCTCAATCTTTTATTAAAAGTAATTAAATTTCAATTATCGTCCTGGTTCTTCCATTATAACTATTCACTGCAGTATAACATGTAAATATCACAAACCTATGGATTCCTACTCTCATACATACTTGTAATAATTTGGATGACAACATTTCATACTTTCTGACATATATTTTACTGTTTTATTCATCACTAAACCCTCACCTTCACTTTCCCACATATACGCATCCACCCCAGTCTATGGAATGAGACCATTTCATTCAGATCTGCTAATCCTTCCCCTTTCTTTTAGTTTCACAGATATACAATTTACGTTTTTCTTCATTTCCTTTCATTTGTTAATTCATGCTCCTTCCCATTCACTCCCTTTACATGCCAAGTCATTATTTTCCACATTCTATAGTCATCAACAGTTGAACCCATAGACATTGACCCCTGATACCCCTCATAGCTTTGGTTAGTCAAGGGCTTTCTGCTGCCATGGCAGTTTCTAGATTAGAGATTCTAGCCTGTAAAAATAAAATAAGCAGGCCAGGATAAAACTGGGTGTTGATCACACATGTGGGCAAATGTGTAATGCTGCAAGTAGCACAGATAGTCCTCACCTTCTCTATAGTACCAAAGAGTGTTCTATGAAAGCTTTGACTGTATATTGTTGCCAATGTGGATGATGCAAGATGCAAGTCTGCTAGCAAAATTGTTCCTTGTCTTTTAAGCTCTTTGTTTGGGTACAGGTTAAGATCCATAGATTTTTTGTTCCTTTGTCAGTTAATGGAATTTTCACCTCATATGTTGAGTTGCCATAATAGTCTGGCATTGTCTGTTTGCATGATAGCTGTTCTCAAAATGGACTTTGAACAGTTTTTGTTTTTGTTCTAGGTTCCTATCCAAGATTGTCCCTAAGTTTTAAACTTAAGAGAAACATTGGCTATTTCATTCTGCAGACGTACATGCCTTCCATTCTGATCACTATTCTTTCTTGGGTTTCATTCTGGATTAATTATGATGCGTCAGCTGCAAGGGTGGCTTTAGGTAGGCATTTTTTCTTTATTTATATTAAATATGTTACCTGTACAAACGTATATACTTAGGATTGCATAGCTGTATATGAGTGGAAAAATTTCTGTTGGTCAGCATTTGCTCTTAAGTAAATTGGTTCCAAATTATCTAAAGTGGTTAAATTAACTTAAATGTGAACTCGTCTGGGCTACATGAGATGTGTTCTGGTGAGATGCAGCATTATTGCAACTGCAATTTAAGATTCCGTGTTTGACTAATGATGTTTCAGCTGAAAAATTAAGCACGTTCTCTTGTAAATTAAACACACAGACACACACACACTTACTGCATTTTATACTAATCCTGATCACTAAATGGCTTTTATTGCTTTATGTAACTGAAAATTTCAAAATTTTTATTTGATTCCTCACGTGATTTTACCAATTAAACTACAAAGGGGACTTGCATGTTTCAGGGAGGGAACATAGTTTCCATGCAAAAAGCCCGAGATTCAATACCTGACTAATGTCAGTAAAGCTGGAAAAGACTCCTATCCAAATTCATCTGTCAACTATGGGGAAAAAAACAACAACAACCAAGAATTATTGTTAGACAGAACCACCAATTAGCCAAGCAAAACTGGATATAAATCCAATCTTAAAGAAATTGATCTCCCTGCCCTTCCTTTTCCTTCCGTTCCTCACCTTCACCTCCTTCCATTGTGCATCTGGTCTATATGGCTTTAAATCTGAAGTCAACCTCCCCCCACCCTTAAACTAGTGTGACTCATTTTGAGAGTTAAAGATAATTTGAAAAGGGTGTTGCAGATATAATAAAAAAAATTTTTTTTAATCCTCACTCAATCGTTACCAATTCTGCGGCGACTGCCTGGATGAGTCCCTGCAGTTTTCAAGGCAAGGTGTTTCGGAAGGGGTTTGC